TTGACTTGACGAATGCTATGCTTATTGATTCAGGTGCTTCCTCAAATCTTTGGGGCAAGGCTATTTTGACAACTTGCCATGTGATAAATAGAGTGCCACACAAAAAGACTAAAATTTTACCTTATGAGTTATAGCGGAGGCATAAACCAAATCTAGGTTATTTGAGGGTTTGTGATTGTTTAACTTTTGTGAGGCTTGCAGATCCTAAACAACCTAAATTGGGTGAACGAGCTACCACCTGTGCTTTTCTTGGATATGTGTTGCATAGTATAGTCTATAGATTTTTTGACATGGAAAATAATATTATTTTTGAATCAGGTAATGCTATTTTTCATGAAAATAATTTTCCTTTCAAATCTAGAAATAGTGGGGGTCAAATAATTTCTGAAAATATTTTATCCATGCATAGCTCTTCTCCTCTATGTCAAGTTTTTCTAGAACAAGAAAATTCTCAAATCTAACCAAGAAGGAGTAAATGAGCTAGAGTTGAAAAAGATTTTGGCTCTGACTATTATCTTAACAATGTGGAAGAAATTCCTCTTACGGTGCAAGAAGTTTTATTATCACCTAATGCTATTTTCTAGAGAGAGGTTGTAAATGATGAGATGGATTCACTACTTTTAAATAAAACATGGAAGCTAGTAGATTTACCTCCAGGTTGTAAAACTATTGGATGTAAATGGGTCTTTCGTAAAAAACTTAAACCGGATGGAACTATAGATAAATATAAAACGAGGCTTGTCGCTAAAGGTTTTAAGCAACGAGTTGATCTTGATTTCTTTAATACTTTTTTTCCAATTACTAGAGTTAAATCCATTAGACTGTTGATAGCGGTGGCTGCAATTCATGATTTAAAAATTCAGCAAATGGATGTGAAAATAGCATTTTTAAATGGAGATCTTGATGAGGAGATTTACATGGACCAACCCGAAGCCTTTGTGCCTGGCCAAGAAAGTAAGGTGTGTAAGCTAACTAAATCCCTTTATGGTTTAAAACAAACTCTTAAACAGTGGCATGAGAAATTTGATTCCAGCATGCTTGAGAATAGCTATAAGACTAATGAATGTGATAAGTGCATATATTATAAAACTTGTGAAAATGCACATGTGATTATTAGCATATGGATGATCTACTTATCTTTAGCTCTAATTTGCATATTATAAATGAGACTAAAAATATGCTTAATAGTCACTTTTATATGAAAGATCTTGGTGAAGCCAATTTTATTTTGGGAATTAAAATTACCAAGACTAATGATGCACTTTTCTTGATCAATCGCATTATGTTGAGAAAATTTTAAAGAAATATAACTTCTAGACTGTAAACATGTTGCTACTCCTTTTGATACAGGCGTATTTATCTGTTGTAACAAATGAAAAAGAAGTGATTAATCAAAAGGAATATGCTAGCATGATTGGTAGTTTGAGATATGCTACTGACTGTACTAGACCTGACATTGCATATACTATTGGAGTACTTAGTAAATTTACTAGTAAGCCGAGTCAAGATCATTGGCTAGTTATGAGAAAAATTATGAGATATTTATTTGGTACCAAAAATTATGATTTGTTTTATAACAAGTATCCTACGGTACTTGAGGGATATAGTGATGTCGATTGGAATATTTTGTCAGGTGATTCCCTCTCTACGTCGGGTTTTATTTTTACCTTAGGTGGTGGTGCTATATGTTGGAAGTCTAAAAAACAGACTATAATTGCTAATTCAACTATGGAAGGGGAGCTTATAGCATTAGCTTAAACATGCAAGGAAGCGAATTGATTGAGAGATTTGTTATATGAAATTCTTTATTGGAAAAAACAATTCCTCCTGTGTTAATTCGTTGTGATAGCACTGTTGCTGTTGGTAGAGTGAGCAATCATTTTTATAATGGTAAATCCAGATACATTCGAAGGAAACACAGTAATGTGAGATCCTATTTGAGTAATGACATCATAACTATGAATTATGTAAAATCTTTCGATAATCTTGGAGATCCGTTAACCAAGGCCTTAGCGAGAGATAGAGTCTGGAATACATCGAGGGGGATGGGTTTGAAGCCCCTAAAGTCATAAACCATGTATGAGAACACCCAACCAAGGGACCAGAGATCCTATAACTAGGTTCAAAGGGAAAAACGAATTATATGGTGGTTGTAAAAAATGCACTTCTTAATATTTTGTTGCCCATCCTTATGATGTAAGTGCATTTGTCCTGTAATGTTGGAGGGTTGAGTTTTTATACTCTTAATGAAATTCTGTAGCTCTTGTTGAGTGGGGTATATAAATTACAGGAACATCCTTGACAGATTTCAACTATGTGAGCATGGAAGTGGAGCCACTTTCTATGAGAACAAGACTTATTATCAAATATGCTCATGAAAACTGCGATACGCACAAGGCTGTAATGTGTTAGCTATTAAAAACTCATGTCAACACCTGGATTATTATGTGTCAGCAGTAATACTTTATTTTCCCTAAGTAGTTATAGTTCAAGTCTAAGATCACTACTGACTCTGGAGTAGAGGTTGTTATTTCACCAATGAAAGTTCAATGCAGAGCACGCCTTTATGATGCTTACTAGTTTATCTTTGTTTGGTAATCTCTTTTGCCTTTGTTGATATTAAAATGAGTTGGGGATTGTTGGACCATTTTAATAGCTTTTATTTATTTATTTTGTTCATGAATCTTCTTTTGTCTTGTTCATGAATCTCATTTTGTTTGGTGAATAAAGATTCATTTTTTTTTTTTTTGGTGACCTTTTGTCTTATTCATGAATGGAAATTAATTGGAAGTTCATGGACTTGGTGGTGAGTTAATATTTGGAGACTCTCATTTTCTCAAGTTTAATGCTCATTATTATTTTTTGGTGTAAATTGTAAGGTCCTAAGTGGCCTATAAATAGTTCATTTCATCTACTCTTTTCTACACCAACTATTTTTTTTACTTGAGAGAATACAGACAAAGAAGAGTGTTTTTCTTGGTGGAACTTTGGGTTCACCATCTTGTGTAGAATTGGCCTGAACCATACGATAAGTGGTCGGGCTGTTGTATCCTAGAAAGGACAAGTCATAGTTTTGTGACTGCTGTATCGGTATTTGGGTTCTTCCTACCGCAGTGAGCTTGATCTTCTTAAAGAAAATGAGATATTTGTGTCTCAGCCTGATCTATTTGTATCTCATTTTCTTTGCATTATTTATCAATAAAATATAATTTTTCTGGTATTTTCATCAATAATTTTAAGGAGATCAACCATGGAACAAGTACCAGAAAAAATCAATGACGAAATTGGAGATCTCAACAAGCCTTTCAAGTTCAAGGGAGTTCATTTTAAGAGATAGAAAGGAAAAGTTTTTTTTACCTTAGCGTTTTGAAAGTTGCTTATGTTCTTACCGAGAAGAACCCAAACAAAATCCCAACCAAGGAGATGAATGATGGAAACTACGAGGCACATAAAGCAAAAGTGGCTTCCTACAATACAGATTAGTATAAATGTCATTTTTATCTCTTAGATTTCCTTACTGATTAATTTTACAATTATTACTATGACACTACTTACACTTTGTTTTCTATTAATTTTTGGCATGCTCGCTTGTGTCATATTAACAGTAAATATGTGGGAATCATGAGTAGTTTAGGATTAATTCCTAAAGTGACAAAAAATTTTGAGAAATGTGAAGTTTGCAGTAAAGTAAAAATTACTAAGAAGCCTCATAAAAGTGTTGAAAAAAATACCGAATTGCTAGAATTATTTCATACTGATTTGTGTGAGTTTGAAGGAATTTTAACTCGGGGTGGTAACCGATATTTTATCACTTTTATTGATGATTTTTCAAAATACACAAACGTATATTTATTAAAAAATAAAAGTGATGCTTTTGAGAAATTTAAAGAATTCGGTGTATCGAGTATGACGTCACTCTTTATGGAAGAGTTACTCCACCGTAGCATGTATTCATACTATATGTGCTTGGCGACCGAGTAATGAGGTGAGAGAATGGATCCCTGCTTCCTCACCGTGTGAGTCTTACGAGTCATTATTGATATGACTTTCATTTATGTACCCTTTTGTGACTTTTGACTATGTCATAAGGTAAGGGGTTGATGTTCTGCTACTTTGGTATGTTGCCTGTGGTCATTTATGATTTGGCCTTAAGGGACATCACTGGGAAAGCGGTCAATCCTAAACTAAATGGCATGAGTGCAAAGGGAAGATCATCTAGTATTACACCACTGTTGTATATTCACTGCCGGCAACTCACATCGCTCTGTATGAGAGGCGAATTGAGTGTGAATATATTGCAAGAATTGAGAGGGTCAAACATGCTCTTTTTTGAGGGATTAGAGATGTTTTTTGGACTGGTGTAATTAGATGGGTCTGGGGTATATGAGACACTATTTCTTTTCTTTTTTGGGTTGATGTCTCTATGCTGGCTCATTTTGAGTTTCTAGTATAGAGCTCCCACATGCAGGTGTTCTCAGCAGTCGCACGGTGCAGTGGCTAGTATGAGATTGTTTATTTTTGGGAGATTGAGACAGAGATGTGGCAGTGTCATGCCAACTCATGTGCGAGTGGGAGATGTTAGTAATGGGCGCCCATGTGGCATGACCATTTGAACATAATTTGGATCTTATCCAAATAGGTTTTGAATTAAATTCAAACCTATTTAGGATAACCACTCAGGATATAGATATTATCAGTTTTAACTGATATGGATAAATAATAATAATATAATATATATCTGATATATGGTTATGGGTAACCTAGAGAAAAAAAAAACGTAGGTTTTGTTTTCTACCCATAAACTGACTCTCTCCCAAAAACAACGATCAAGTCTTCTGCACTGTGATTTGTGTGGGTGATATTCAATCTGTGATATCACTCCACTGCTAGGTTGGTTTATCAATTTTCTGGAAGCACGTGATTTATCCACGAGGTTCTATCATTGAAAAGGTATGATATGATTATTTTATCCGCTGCATAATTGTTTGTTTTTATTTACACTGAGAATTTTCGAGCCATCTCTACAACAAAATCTACTGCATTTGGGTTATCTCCTGACTCCCTAGAATCAGCAATTCTCTTAGATGTGGAAAGTGGGTTAATGCCACTGTTTTTATGTGCCACTGTTGGGACTACTTCAACAACTGCCATAGATCCATTAGGACCGCTATGTGACGTGGCAAAACGTTATGATATGTGGGTCCACATGGACGCTGCATATGCCGGAAGCGCATGCATCTGCCCGGAGTTCCGACACTATATTGATGGAGTTGAGGGTGCAAACTCATTTAGTCTGAATGCACATAAGTGGTTCTTCACTAATTTGTATTGTTGTTGCCTTTGGGTTAGGGACCCAAATGCACTAATCAAAGCTCTGTCGACAAATCCTGAGTACTTAAGGAACAAGGCTACTGAATCAAAGCAAGTGGTGGACTACAAAGACTGGCAAATAGCTCTAAGCAGACGATTTCGAGCGATGAAGCTGTGGCTTGTGCTGCGAAGTTACGGTGTAGCTAACCTTAGGAACTTGATAAGAGGTCACGTCAATATGGCCAAGCATTTTGAAGGGCTTGTAGCAATGGACAGTAGGTTTGAGGTTGTTGCCCCTAGAAACTTTGGATTGGTTTGTTTTAGAATTTCCCCATCGGCTCTTACTCTTAGTGATCACAATCACAACAACAAGGCTTCTGAATCTGGATCCGATGAAAACCATGCAAATGAAATCAACAGCAAATTGCTGGAGTCCATCAATGCATCAGGACGGATGTACATGAGTCATGGTGTTACTGGAGGAGTTTACGCCATTCGTTTCGCAGTGGGTGCAACTCTTTCGAACTATCAACATGTGGACCTGGCTTGGCAAGTGATTCAGGACCACGCACATGCCATACTTGCTGCTTCCTTAAATTCCCCACCTAGTTTTTTCCCTTAAGGCTTCCGAAAAATGTTATGGCGCAAGACTAAAGCATCCAGATTTTTTCTGGATAGTGATTATGTGTTATCGATTGAATTGATAAAGTGTGAGTTTAAGTGTGAAATAAATTTAAATTATAGATTAATATTTATGGGTAAAATTCGGGGTAATATTTCTAAGAAAGTTGTATTACTATATGTTGCCCCACTTCTAAGATGTTTAGCCAATAACAACTGTTTGTTTGTTTGAGTGATGAAATTACGCTTTTGAACGCCTCCTATCATTAAAACGGTGCCGTTTTCATTTAAAAAAAGGCGACGTTTGCAAAACACCGTTAAATATTATAAAACAGTGACGTTCAGAAAAACGTCATTAAATAAACGCCGTTAAAACCTACATTTCCTGTAGTGAGTGTGATTGAATGCGAATATTGCAAGTGTGATGGTATTAAATTAAAATTTTAATATAAATTATATTTGTTTGCACATTGTATAATGATATTAGTTGACTATGATTAAATCTATAAAATTATGCAAAAGTCCTTGTTATATAGAAGGTGATTTTGTTGTTTTTGTAAAACGAGAGGCAATATAATCTTTTTACCTCCAATTTCAAGGGACTAGATTTCAATACAATGGTACAAACTCTTCCATCGGATCGCTAGTCTCCTCCTTTGATGGATTTTAGAGTCTCACGGGACTCTTAATCCTATGACAATTTTTTTAAATAAACATAATTTTGATGGACTCACCTCACTATTAATCGAATCTCCTCTACCATCTCTGAAAAACAAACATTAGCTAAAAACACAAAAAACATGCTACCATGGCTCATTTCGAGGTCATGCTATGATATACACTCTCATATGGAAATTATGAGATTTGTGGCGTTGCTTATCACAAATATCATAAGTAAATCCTCTTCTATATAACTAAATAATAATAATAATAATGAACCATAACCAAACATATCATGAGGCATGAGCAAAGACTTTTTGAATCATAACTAAAAAATATCATAACCAACATGACAATCAATTATAACTAACACTACAATGTATATAATCAAGTCATAACTAATAGTATGATAGATCATAACAAAAAATCATAAAAGTCGTAACTGTGACATATGATATACATAGAATTTCCCTTTATTTCTTGGCCATATTTTGTTTATATTTACTAGCGTAATACATGTGTTATGCACGGTTTTAAATAAACAATTCGTAATTAATTTTAAAATTAAAATTAATAAAATTTTAATTATTTTTATCACAATTTCACTTATCGTTTGTTTTTTTCCCCTACCACTAATGTTATGTTTTAAGTTCTAAATAACAATAACATGAATCATAATGTCATTAGTAATAATTAAACAAAAATTATGATAAATTATAAAATTGAAAATTTTAATTTTAATTTTTAAAAACAATAACTACACCTATGATAAAATATAAATATATTATTATTTTTTGAGGATTTCATAATTTTAATTTTTCATATATTAAATGATATCGTAAACTATGTGAAACTCAATAATTTATTTATTTATTTATTTATTTTTTTACTAATTACACTTTTTTTTAGTATGCCATATAATACTAAGAATAATATATATATATTTTTTGCAAACTCACTCTAGCAAAATTTCCTTAAATCAAAAAATTAAATAATAAAATGAAAATGACAAACAAGGAATTAGCAGTGACCCTTATCATCTTATCTTTATAGAAATCATCATTTACCTACCAAGTACAATTTTTAGATTTTCACACAATCGCTAGTTTTGGCATCTCACATTAGGCCATTTGCTTATTCTTCTCTCTCGCTCACCTTTTCTTAATGGATCTTTATAGCACGGGTGTAATTTTTTTAAATTATTTTATAAACTATAATACTCGTGCTATGCACGGGTTTAAAAAAATAATTAAAAATTAATTCTTAAATTAAATAATAATATCAAATTTATTTATAAGAAATAAATAAAGTATGGTAGAATGTATTTTTAAAAAAGTGCAATAAAATTACAAAAACTATTTTTACAATGAAATATAAATGCATTTTGTCTTATATGTTTTGCAATTTAGTTTATTTTATGTCAGATATAGCCCAATCATATAATAAATTATAAGGTAAATTATAAATGCACCCCTTGAGGTTTATTTAAAATATAAATTGTCCTTCTGATTTTAGAAATTACATTCCACTCCTTGAGATTTTTAATTTCATAACAAATTGCCCATTTTGTTAATAAATCATCAAGTCAATTAAATTTTTTTTAATGATGTTAGAAGTATGTTTCAATCAATAATTTAGGCATTTCTATCATTGTATAGAAGAGCAATTATGAATTTCAATCAAACGTCTCTCCAACAATATCAATTTACTACGTTATTCATTTCTTCTCCTCAATATTATTTTATAAATGACCATGCCATCAATTTATAGCAATAACTATCTCACATCATGCCCAATTCACAACAAGTTAGCCCCTTCAAGGCTACATGTGATGCCTTTCGAACATCAACTCCAATGTTTACAATTTTCACTATCCAAGGTGCACAACCATTTGTTATTTCACAACAATACACTTTCAAATGTTTAACAATAACGTTAAAATAATATCTCATTTCTCATATACTAAGTAAATTGTCATTTTTTCTAAACATATGATAAAAGTTCACTCTCTTAATACAAAACAACAAGATGCCCCTAAACATGTTTACATCTTTCAAAAATTTCCAAAATTTTCAAAATTTCTAGGGTTTTATGTCAAAACCAAAACAAACATCGTCCCCTCTTTTGAAAGGGGTTTTCTCTTAAGATATCACACCTCCTATTATGTGAGTTAAAATCCTCAAGAAGATAGTTTAAGAAGAGAGAGAGAGAGAGATCAAACCCACTTTTGAAACCCTAGCATTTATGAGACAAGACTAAACCTTCAATATCATTAATGAAACCTTTAAATCAACCAAATCTAACATAAATATATATATATATATATATATATATAACTCAAGGAAATTTTCCTACCTCAAGGTTTGATGAAGAAGTAGAGATGAACCCTAGTTTTGATGGAAGATCCTTCAATTTTCACTACACCAAGAAAAGACCAAGTTTGATCTCCAAGAGTACAGGATGATGACAATCTTAAGCCCAAGAAATCACAAGAAATCAAGGGTTTAGGATGCTAGATGAGGGTTTTTAGAGAGAAGCAAGAGGAAATATGAGGTTTAGAGTGACAAGGAGAGGCCCCAAATGTGTCACAAATCGGCCAAAAGACATAAAAAAAGTAGTGGTTCAGACTGCTAGAGTGCCGCACGTGCGGAGCGCCCCTTCCGCACGTGCGGCCCTCACCCCCGCACATGTGGTGAGCTATGCTGCACCTCAGCCCGCACCTGCCTTTTAGGTAGTGTGCAACTCTCACAAGTTAAACCCTCCCATACGTGCGGCCTTACTCCCTGCACGTGCGACTCCCCACCTCGCACGTGCGGCCCTGTTCCAGCAACCCAAAATTTTCTAGTTCGGTCCTCGAGCACTCCGAACTTAACCACACACCCTCCATAATAAGTGAGATTCATCACCGAGCAAAACAAGAACATGGACTTAAATTTTGAGAACAATTTTTGAGCATTTCAAGCCTAATGCAACACTTGGTTTCTAAACCCAACCAACCTGAAACAAACCTGCCCAACACATCCTATAATTCCAAATGAGAAAATAAGGGACAACAACCACAATTATACAATGACAGAATCTACGGAACCTAAGTCCGGATACAATAATCAAATGGGAAAAGACCGGGGTCGCTATACCGCACGTGCGGAGCGCCCCTCCCGCACGTGCGGCCCTCACCCCCGCACGTGTGGTGAGCTATGCTGCACCTCAGCCCGCACCTGCCTTTTAGGTAGTGTGCAACTCTCACAAGTTAAACCCTCCCGTACGTGCGGCCCCACTCCCTCCACGTGCGACTCCCCACCTCGCACGTGCAGCCCTGTTCTAACAACCCAGAATTTTCTAGCTCGGTCCCCGAGCACTCCAAACTTAACCACACACCCTCCATAATAAGTGAGATTCATCACCGAGCAAAACAAGAACAAGGACTTAAATTTTGAGAACAATTTTCGAGCGTTTCAAGCCTAATCGAAAATAAAAGAAGGACGAAGAGAATAAGGAAATGAAGGAGAAGAAAAGAAAGACCCAGTCATCACAACCTTCGCACCATAGGAAATTTCGTCCCCGAAATTTGAACAAACTCCCCAAAATAAAATAAACTCACCAAATAAGAGTGCTCTAACAACTATAATCATTTTTAACAACATTAACAAGTTGCACATTTATGTCAACCAACATTTATCTTTCTCTTCACCATCACTCCATCAAAACAACAATTGCTCAAATTAGATATATGAGATAAAACATCTACAACAAAATGTCATTCTTCCATAAGCTCATGCTCAATTTAACAACACATACAATAACATGTGATTAATAATTTAACATTCTCCCCTTCATCACTAGGGGATACTACAATTTAAAATAAAACAATTAGGCATGCTCAAATCAATCTGGATACTTGGAGCGGACCTCCGCTTCCCGTTCCCAAGTCGCTTCCTCAACTCTGTGGTGTCTCCACAACACTTTCACTAACGGCATGGTTTTGCCTCGTAGTACTTGTTCTCGGGTATCTAAAATTTGAACTGGTCGCTCCTTGTAAGAGGCATCTTCATTTACCTCCAAATCAACCCAATCTAACACATGAGAAGGGTCAGGGTTCATATTCCCCCAGTATTGACACATGGAGCACATTGTGAACCCCCAAAAGTTGTGGCCATAAAGATAACTGGTATGCCACTTCCCCGACTCTCTCCAATATCTCAAAAGGTCCAATAAACCTCGGAGATAACTTCCCACTCTTGCCAAACCTCATTAGACCTCGCCTAGGTGAGATATTAAGAAACACATGATCACCCACTTCGAAAGATAAGGGTCGTCTCCTCCTATCAGCATAACTTTTCTGTCGGCTTTGAGCCGTGGCTAATCTCTTATGAATGAGAGTAACTTTCTTGGTTGTCTCCCTAACGATTTTCGAACCCAACAACGGTGCATCTCCAACGTCGGCCCAATAAACCGGTGATCTACAAGGTCGGCCATACAAGGCCTTTAACGGTGCCATCTCGATACTAGCTTGATAATTATTGTTGTAGGCGAATTCAATCAATGGTAAGTGCCTCTCCCAAGA